ACAGCCTTGGGAACCCTGCAGAAAGTCAGCTCCTTGTTGATTCTGAGACTTCCATAAGAAACCGTATAATCATGAGTATAATCTGTGACTTCGTTATGGCTCTTCAAGTGGATTAGCAGATCTATTGGTAGAGCAGATGGTGTTAGAATTGACAGAAGGAGGGAAGGGGCCTTTCCCCCCCTTTGTGTAGGTGAAATGTTCTTGACCTCACACATTCTTATCCTTGGAGATCTGTGCTTATTGTTGCTATTTATAATATTGTTGGAAAGGGTATTTGATATAAGCAAATCTTTCCAAATTCTCTCCTGTGATCTTTATAATTTCTGTTGCCAATCCCTTATTTTTCAACTACCTATCCTTGTTGGTTATTGAAGACACATTGCACTTGAAAAATCTGCAGTTAGGGACCTCTCCAACTAATTGAGTAATGATAACAGTTTGAGGACTAAGGTGCATCTGATTCAGGCCATAGTCTTTCTGATAACTTGCTGTGCATCTGAGAACTGGACAGTGAATAAGGATGACAGAAGAATTGAGGCCTTAGAGTTGTGGTGTTGGAGAAGAGCACTGGACATCCCACAGATGGTTAAAAGAACAAACAAATGCGTCTTGGAGAGGGTGCAACCGGGGTGTTCTTAGAAGGCAAGGATGATGAGGCTTCGCTTCACATACTTTGGGCATGCTGCTAGGAGGGGCTACTCCTTGGAAAAGGACATAATTCTAGAAGGGTGGAGAGTCAGCAAAGGAGAGGAAGACCCTCAACCAGGTGGATTGAGGCAGTGACTCCCACAATGAGCTCTGGTGTGTCAGGAGGTGAGAAGATGGCTCAGGAGAGACCAGAGTTGAGATCTTTTATTCATAGGGTCGCTGTGAGTCATAATTGATGGCACCTAACAACAACAACAATCCTTGTTTGTTTCTAATTTTTGCATTTCTTTTTTTTTTTTTTTAAATTTTTGCATTTCAATCACTGGTAATTATCAGTCCATATTGATTGCATCTTTGATCACTTTCAGACTGTAGAAGCTGGTAAAAATCTTCAGTTTCCTTTCCTGTAACATTAGTGGTTGGTATGTAAATTTGTATAATAGTCATATTTACTAATCTTTAACTGGATTTTATAACTAGAAATATAAAAAAATGTACTGCACAAAAACTTGTTAATTATTTTGGTGTCATCTAACAGAGTCACCTGGTATAGAGCACACCCGTAGTATTCCCCTTGTAACACTTAACATCTTTATACATGTTCTTACTCAGGTGTTGATAAGGTTTTCCACAAATTAAAAACTATTAATTTCTTTTCTTAAGCTGTCCTGCCTGAAGAGTGTTCCTAACTGAAAAAATTGTTGGAAAGCTTGTTTTAATGAGTTTTTTAAAAGTTGCTGTATTCTTTGATAGTCTTTGGTTTATCCTTGGGAAATAGACTTGACTATCTTGCCCATTCATGTCACTGTTCTGCACCAAACAAACTACACCCACTACCATTGAGTCAGTTTGGACTCATAGTGACCGTCGAGGACAGAGTAGAACTGCTGATAAGAGTTTCCAAGGCTGGAAGACTGTATCGAAGCTGACTGTTCCTCACCGTTCTTCAGAATGGCCAGTAGGGTTGAGCTGCCAACTTTTGGTTAGCAGTCATATTCTTTTATCACCTTTCTCATTTCCTAATAGCATTGAAAAGGTTTCTTCCACTACAGTGTGTGTGGGGAGTGCATGCATAAGAAGCAGATGATATGTGTAGAATGCTTTACCATCACAAAATGCTAAATAAATAAATAAAAAGGATTGATAGAAAGATTTCACGTAAAATAAAAATTATAATGTTTAAAAATACTGTGGAAAACAGTTGTGTATCTTTTTACCTAATGTGTTTATCTTCAGTACTTACGTAACTTGGAAAATGAGCAAAGTTAATGTCTAGTAATACTACATTATTATGTATATTACAAATATCTAGTAATGATTGAAATTTAGTGAAAATAATTGTAATATTGACATTTAGGAGTTAGGTATATAGATAAAAGTTAAATTTAGTAATCATGGCATGCAAAATAATTGTTTTTAAAAGTTGCTTTTATAGAATGTATTCATTTTGACTTCTTTGGTCTTCACAAACACGTTTATTCAGTTTAGCAGTGTGGAAGTCCAAATCAGTGGTGCTGCTGGCTCTAGGAGAGGATGCCTAACCCAAACGAGGCTGAGCCTCCCTAAAGATTGGAATCCACCACTGAGTGGGTCCTTGGGAGCAAGGGGGCATTCTCCTTCCATGCGATTTGGAGCTTGGACACTCTGTGGAGGGTCCACTATGAGTAGGTTTTGAAGGCAGTGAGGGTTTTTTTATGGTTCTAGGATCCCCCTTTTCTGCTTGGTTGTCTCTCATTTTATCTTTTGTGAGAGAAAAGATGTCAAAGACCATAGCTTAGGACAACTCTCTTTACATTTATCAGGATTGTAATGGAATTAAAGATGCTGCATCCTACCCTTAATTCTTAGGGAGCTCTGGTAGGTAGCCTAGTGGTAAGAGTTACACAGCCAACATAAAGACAAGCAGTTCAAATCCACCAGTTGCTCTTTGGGAGAAAGATGGCCTCCTGGGTGATTCACAGCCTGGATTTACCCACTGGAAGGCAAGCTATGAGCCAGTTCCAACTCAACATCACACGACAACATCCGTAATCCTATTGAAATTGCTTATGAGATTGTTGGGGACCGTAGTATAACTGGTACTTGATTACATTCATGTATGTTGGGAGGACCAATTTGATCCATGACATTCCACCTTTTGCCCCTCAAAGTTATTGTTCTTGTTATATAGAAAACACTTTTTACTCCATCATATCCCAAAATTCTTACATCAACCCTAAGTCCAAATTCCGTTTAGGGTAAAATTTCACTTTATAAATGAATGTGGAATGCTGCTTCTCACTGTCTGCTGCTTCTGATGTTAAAATTTTCCTCTTACCTTTCTGAGTCATTGTCAGAATTGCCTCTGACATCCTTTATTCCACTAGTTGTCTCTTCAAGGCAATCTAGGCTTTTCCTATTACGCATCCTTTCTGTCAGATATCAGATAATCAGATATCTTCTAGTCTTTTTATCAGATATCTTCTAGCTTCTACTAATTTTCTGTGTCCAAAACTGCTTTCATATATTAGGTATCTGTTAGAACAACGCCCTTCTCTCTTGATGCCAGATTCTATCTTGGTTATCTAGTGTTGCTGTAACAGAAGTACCACTGTTGTGAGCTTTAGTCATTGTGAAAGCCAGCAGTAGAAGGTTTTAACAAATGGAAATGTGTTCAGTTACTGTTTAGGAGCCTAGAAGTCTAATTCAGGCTGCCAGCTCTAGAGGATGACTTTTCTCTGTGTCTTTTGGTTCCAAGAGTTTTCTTGAGCAGGACCTGAATTGAAGGCATTAATTTCTTTCCTGGTTTTTCTTTATTAGTACTACTGAGGTCTTCTATTTTTAAGTTTTTTTTTTTTTTTTCACGTTCCAATATTTTTAAGTTTTAATTTGAGATAAAAATAATCTTACTTTACAGTAGAAGTATTTTAATGAGAGTATTGTTGATGTGTTCCATTGAATTGGAACTGACCCAGCAGGTTTTCAGAAGTAGTAAGTTAAATTAGAGGAGATTGCAATTATTTTTAGGTTGATAATTTTCAGAATATTCTTTCTTTAACCATGGTATAGTCATTGTTATCAATTCTTGCTGAGCATATTTTAATCTTCGAAATAGCCCTTCAAATTAATAAAAACTGCTTAAATTAATTATTGTGGTGATTCAAACTAGAGGTTTCTAACATCCAAAGCTATTAAGCTTTGTAGAGAAACAAAACAAACAAGACAAAGGTATTTTTCCATAAATTATACCTGTTTGAGTAAAAGGAACACTGGTTGTGTAGTATATTACATGTTGCTCTGCTAAATGAAAAGTGAGTTGTTTGAACTCACTTGGGGAAAAAAAAGATGGGCAGTCACTGATCATAAAGATTGACAGCCATGGAAACCTGGTAGAGGGTTGCTATACTGGAATTGCTTTTGACAGCAATGGGGGTTTTGGAAGAATCAATAAAGTAAGTGTATGAAAATGTTCTTATTGTTTTGTGTGTAACTTTTGTGGCTTAAGAGCCTAATGAACACAAACTTATGTTACCTCATATTGTTTACCTGCACATTATAATATGGATGTCATTAGGTTATTATACTTAATATAATTATACTTAGTACTATATTTAGAAAAACCCTGAAACTCACTACTGTCAAATCACTTCTAACTCTTGGCAACCCTTCATTGGGTTTCTCAGGTTATTAATTTAATCATACAAAGAGATTGCCCATCTTTCTCTCGAGGGGCCCTAGTGGATTGGAAACACCAGAGCTACAAGGCCGTGGAGTTAGCAATGTAACACCCTACATTCTACAACTCCAGTGATCCCTGTATTAGCCTATATTAATAAAGTCATATATTCTGGGAGCTCTGGTGGTCTAGTGGCAAAAAGCTGTGCTGCAATGCCAAAGGCATATGGTTCAAGGCCACCAGCTGCTCCACAGAAGGATGGGAAATATCCATGCAATTAACTGCCTCTGAAAACTCGCTGGAGAGTCAGCTATGGGTTGGTACTGACTGGACAGTACACAACAGCAACAACATATATTCTAGATCTGTATTAATGTATATCTTAACAAGCAACAACAACATATATTCTAGAACTTTAATAATGTATATATTAACAATATTAATTGGTAATGCTAATGCATGTATATTAATACAGTTGTATAGTACATGTAACAGTGATAATGTACATGTAATACAGTGAGTACATGTAACATGGATAAACTTAATATATTCATATATAAGACTATGTTCACTTATATGTTAAGTTATAATACAAATCTTCATTACTGTAGTTCACAGTATTGAGTTAAAGCCTATATCATTGTATTGCTGTGCTATTTTGTTTAGCCATTTTGTCCTTTTTTGTTTACTTCTGTAGCTTTTCTGCAGTTAGAAAAAAAAGGACCACAAAAACATCCTGTGGATCCGCCTCCAGTCGTACCTCGGAAAAACTACTCTTTCACAAGAGAAGAAGTGAGACAGATTGATCGGGAAAATCAGAGGCTTTTGAAAGAACTGTCTAGACAGGCTGAAAAGCCAGCAAACAAAAGTGCAATTCCTAAAAGATCAGTTGGTCACTCCTCTAAGTTATATCATAGTGCTCTTAACAGACAGAAGGAACAACAAAGGATTGAAAGAGAAAACCTGGTAAGTTGTTGGATCCTAGTCATCAAAGAAAATGCATTTATACTGATTTCTTAGACCAAGTTACGTGAAACTCTAATATAGCTAGTATTTCAGACTTGATTATTTAAGAACAAACATAAATTTGCATGACACTTGATGTGATATGAAGTACATGATGTGCTAGGTAAGAACCTAAAAGCTAAAATATATATTATTTAGCCAGTAGATTTATTTTGGGGGAACATTAAAAGACAGCAGTGAGACAGCCTTTTATTTATTTTATTTTTAAAAAATTAATTTTCATGAACATTTATAGAGAGTTTGGATTTCCATACTTTCATTGTTACATTTTTCTCCTTGCCCACCCCGCCCCCCAGTTCGCATTTCTCTTTGAAAAGTAAAAGAAAAATTATTTCATTGGTATAGAATTCCCCCCCACCACGCCGAGTACACTCCACTATGCAACCTTCATTATGGACTCTTGTCATAACTGTAATACCCAATCATATATTGCTTTTCAAACAGTTCTCTCCCTCATCTGTTTCAATGCAAATCTGTTAAATGCAAATTTATCCAATTTTTCTCAGTCTTTCCCCAACCCTAAGGTCAGTCCCGTTCTACAATAGTGGCACCATGCAGTATTTGTCCTTTTGTGACTGAGATATTTCACTCAGCATAATGTCCTCCAAGGTCACTCATTTTGAATAATATTGCATGAGTTCCTTGTTTTTCAATGCAGCGTAGTATTCCATTGTGTGAATATACCAGAACTTCTCTCTCCATTCTTTGTTGCTGGACACTTAGGCTGTTTCCAACTCTTTGCTGTTGTGAACAATGCCACAATAAACATGGGTGTGCAGCCTTTATTTATTTGACAAATCAGTTAAATCATTAAAGTTCAATACATGATGACCAAAGGTCAGATAACAGCCAGTAGCTAAATCTATTCTTGTTTGTTGTATCTTTGAGAGACAAAATAGGTTTTTATTTTAGAAGCGAACCACAACTCTGGAAGAGGGCAGGTTTGGTGGTGTCTTCTTGAATTTATAAGAGTTCACTGTTAAAAATCATGTAGTTAAACTTGGTTACTCTAGAGGAAGGAATATACATGGGGAGTATTTGAAATCTTCACATTTTAAAATGGAAAATTGAGTATTTAGTAACTGTCAGGTATTGGTATATCTCCCATTTATTAATTTTTTTCATTAGCTTTCCATAGTCTCACAGTTCCATTGCTGTTCTCATTTTCTAGTTATAGGAAACAAAGATCCCCATTGCTGCTGTTGGTAGGACCGAACAACAACAGAATAAACCTGTGCTGGTTTTGTGCCGTTATTACCAGCGTTGCTGTAGTGGAGCCCAGTGTTGTAGCCACTGTTATCAATCCATCTCATTGGTGATCTTTTGATTTTTCACTGATCTGCTGAGTGTGATACTCTTCTGAGAAGGATCCCTCCTGATAACATATCCAGAGTAAACAAGGCAAAGTCTCATTATCTTCACTTCCAAGGAATACTCTGGTTTCCTTCTTCCAAAACAAATTTCTTGGCCAGTTCTTTCTTCTGACTGTCTACAATCTACAGCATATTGCACTTTCTTCACCATTAAGATGATTCAGAGGAATCGGTTCTCTTACTCATTTTCCCAGCATTCCTCACATACGTATGAGGCAGTTGAAAATACCATGACATGGCTAGGGGTCAGGAAAACTTTAGTTCTCAAAGTACACCTTTGCTTTTGACTATTTTAAAATATTCAAATTTTGTAGCAAATTTGTCCATCGTGGTATATTGTTCAGTTTCTTAATGGCTTCTTCCATGGCCATTGTTGAGGGTCTAAGTAAAATGAAATCATTGACAACTTCAGTCTTCTCTGGATATCATGATGTTGCTTACTGTTTTTACTGGCTTTGTATAGCCTCACAGTTCTTTGAGATAAGTATTATTTTTTAAAAATTTATTTTATTTCATTATTTTTTGTGTGTACTGTCAAATCAGATCTGACAGATATAGGAGGACATTGTTCCTCCTTCTCCAGCAGAGCATCTGGTGGATTCGAACCATGTACCTCTGAGATTATAGTGCAGCTTCTTGCCGCTAGGCCACTAGAGCTCGCCAGAGATAAGTACTATTTTTATTCACATCTTACGGATGAAAAAAGAGCCCTAGAGAAGTTCAGTTGGTCCCTGAAAAGAAGTCGTCCTTGGTCTTAGAGAAGACCAAGAACATAGAGCGAGTCAGTAGCTGAACCCAGATCTTAAGCTCAGGTAGTCTGGCAGCATTAATTCTATTTTTAAATTAAAATTCAACCCTCAGAACACATAGCATCAGAGATAAATAATTTGTGAAGCAATAAAATGACTAAAACAGCTTCCTAAAGTAGCCCTCACTATATTTGATCAGAGAAGCTCTGCCAGTTGTGGAGAGGTGGTTAAGTGCTTGCCTAGTAACCAGCGTTGGTGGTTAGAACACATTGTCTTTGTGGAAGAGTAATGTGGCAGTCTGTTTATGTGAAGAGTGAGTACAGCTTTGAAAAACCTCTCAGGCAGTTCTTTTTTGTCCTTCAGGGTCACTGTGAGTTGAAATCAGCTTGACAGCATTGAGTTTTAGATTTCATTGATGAGTCACTGTATAATACAGATAGTTAAGCACTCAACTACTAGCTCAAAGGTTAGTGTTTCCCATTCTTCCAAAACACCTGCAGGAGACGAGAAACAACACAAATTGAAGTGAAGGTGATGAATAATGAGTTACATAATAGCTTCTTGCACATCACTAGTAATAGTCAAGATTAATTTTTAATTAAAATATAATTTTACTGTCGCAAATATTTACATTTAGTTTTGAAAGTTGAAACCATTAATGGGAAAATCTCAGAACAAATAATGATGGTTTCATGATAAGATAAATACAGTTAATAACACTAACTTGGATATGAAGAATGTTGAAATAGTCAATAAATACAGTTAATAACACTAACTTGGATATGAAGAATGTTGAAATAGTCAGTGCTTTATTATAAATATATTGACCCAGTGTGCAAAAAGAAATGAAAAAACCCCATTAAATTATACAGTAATAAAAAAATTAAAAGCTAAACAAGAAAATTTGAACTTCAGTCTATCCCATTCGAATTCCAAAA